ACAATTCAGATTATTAAAAGATCCATGCTAAATTCACAGAGGTGTACTGAAGGATGCATTTAACATTAGGTGAGTCTCCTTGTAGCAAACAATATAACCATAATGCTCCCTCCACTCCAATATACAATTCAGATTATTAAAAGATCCATGCTAAATTCACAGAGGATACTGAAGGAACATTAGGCACTGGTTTGTACCTTGTCACCACCCTATTTAAGGCTGTATTGATTTCATAATATAAAAAAAAAAAAGTCATTGAAACAGGTGCGATGTAGCCAGATGCCAAGCCTGACTTCTTTGTGGGCGATATCTGTATTATTAATAAATCAGTTGGAGATACGCATCAGGAGACAGATGGTATTGCAAATTCTGGCAAGCAAACAGGACTCGTTAATAAATACATGACAAGTTACGGAGAATGATGTCCCTCCTCAGATATGTATTTATTTGGAAGGTAGTCTGTAAAACCATAATTAAATTAACTTTAGATGAGGATTATATTTTCATGATTTTTAAGGTATTCAAAATATGCAAAGAAAATATTATAATAAGAATGAGAAATGGTGTAAATAGTTTCTCTAATTAACAGGAACACCAAAATGGAGATCTTCAGAAGTAAAAACTCTTAGTCTGTTTACATTAGAGTATTGGGAAAAAAAACCCAATTCTTTTCATGGATTCTGGGTAGATTAATCAAGGTAAAATGGACTGCTGGACCAAGGAATAAAGTGCTGCTTTTTTTTTTTACCATGGGTAGCTGGACTGCTGCAAGTAAGATCACATGTAGGTAATGCAACAGGAGCAGATGAAGCATTTTTAGGATGCTGATAAAAGGCTTTTCAGCCACGTTTATTCCTTTGTTCTCCTGGAACAAGAGACTGAAAGCAAATTTCAAGACACACTAAAGTGCCATCTTTATGTCTGAATATCAAAGATCTGAATGAAAGAGCCCAAGACAAGGCTGAATCATGCTATGTGACCTCTTGAGCATCGGACCAGTGTAGGATGAATAGCGCTGATGTAAATGAAAAGGGAACTTGGTCCTTTTTGTTGTGCTCCTTTCATTGCTGCCTTCAAAAGCTGAACCAGTAATAGCCCACGAGTGCATGAAGATATATAATTTAAAAATATTTATGTGCCTGAACTTCCTGGGTGTTAGGCACAAATTTCCCAGCCCTGAAATATATCTCAGAATGCCTGTATAAGGCAAAATGCCTATTTTTGAAGAGGCAAACCTATGGTGCAGGAACATGGAGCACTTCTCCTTAGTTGACACAAACAGACCCAAGCACTCTCCACAGGTTTGAGTCACCCCAAGATGAGAAGCTCTGATCCAGAGATCACGTAATGCCAATGGCATCACATTACTGTGCTACCAGCCCAGAAGACAGTGGCCTATTCACTAAGCGTGGCATCAGCCTCAGACTTCTGTGTCACTTTTAGACTACAGTGAGCTTGAAAAAAAGGAGAGATGCTTCTTTCTGGCTGTCCCCATGCAGGTAGGAGTGTGACACACCAGACTATGCATGAATATCTGCTTAGTGTCTGAAATACCAAACTACATCACTCTCCTGTCTGCTAACCTGAAGGATTTACCAAAGACCCTATCCATTAGGTGAACGGGATATAGGTAAGTCTCCAGTTTAAGTGGATTTGCTAAGTTTAAGTAAGGACATTTGAAACTCTGCCCTAGACACCTCTCCAAAGGGATTCACTTCTCTGCTTCTTTTGCCGTAATGCAAGTGTACTGGGACTCAGCATCACAGTGTCTACATTATCGGTTACTACAGTGAGGATCAAACTCATTGAAATAGTTAAAATTATCACTCCCATGTGCTCGTTTATTCACATGCACAGTAGCTATAAAAGCAAAGCCTGGAAATGAAGAATTTTTGCCCGTTGAATTGATTTGCATGCTATAATAAAGGCACTTCTGGTGTATTTTAGTAGAGACGGGGGCTGAATACATGTGCTTGTTATCAGGGCTTTGCTTTATGTTAAGACAGCCCTGCATTGTGCACTGCATAATGAATTCCAGAAAACACAGCTTCTTATTGTTGTCAGTTATTGGGGGCTCATTCTCCTAATGAGATATGTAAATATCTTTCATTAACATTAACGGCGATTGTTTGCTTGGCCCCTGAGGAGAACAGTGCTTTCTGTCTAGTTATGGCTGTTACGACAAAAATGCTTTTAGCTATTGCAAAACTTTGCCTTAATGATGTTGGTTGTCTGGACAGCTTTTGATATCATTTACAGACTTATCCCTGTACTCTTCTGACCTATTTATTTCCTTGTTTTGGATGGCTACAATAAAGGCTCAAGTATCTTTTTATACCCACAATGTCAAGATGCAGAGAAAGGGCGTGGATGTGAAACTCTGTTAAATACAGGCAAAACATATAAGCCTGAGCTTAACACGTAAGTGTACACTTTACTTTAAGCCACCTGGTTGAAATCGGTCAGACTTTTCAAACTGTGGAGCAGTTAATTTTTTTGCCTGACTTTATGCACAGGCTGTTGTTACTGACTGACCAGGGTCCGGAGAGGTGGGTGCTGTACAGTATCAAACTTCACACGCAGCAAGCCACTGGTCAGGTTGGTAAGCAGTACTTAAAGAAACTAATTGAAAACTCTTATAGCAAACATCTACTAAGATCTCCCTTGAAAGATACATAATTTAAAAGCCAAGACAGCTTCTGGCCCCAGCTGTAGGGAGCAGTATGCATGCCTAGGGCTACTCCCCATCACTGCAGCCTGCTGGCAGAGAACAGCAATCAATGTCCCTGCTGCTTTTCCCTAAACCACCAGAATAGCGGGATCGCATACAAACTGCCTGCTGGCAATGGTGACAGCTTCTGCTGACCTCTACCAGCCACACAACTTATCTGAGAGTCTCCACGGCGCAGAGCCAAACCTGGGCCAGGGCCTGCACTAGAGAATGAGCACTACAGACCATCGATTCCAGTGCCTGCGCACGCTCCCATGTCCTGGTTCACGCATGGGGATGGGCACAGCCCACATGTCGGGCAAGTACCGCAATTTTCCCTTCACTGGCTGTGAACTCAGTTGCTGGGTGTTCACTGCATTCTCAGCACAAAACAAGATGATACTTCCATGGGATGCCCTAAGCTTTCCTCTCCAGAACAGTGATGACTTGACCACGTGGAGGTCTCCCCAGGATGGTCTAGTTTTGGGGAAGATTACTGAAGAGGAAGAGGATCAGTTCTGGGAGTATTTCACAGGACAAACTCTTTTGTCCCCATTTTGTATGAAGTTCTTCTATTCATGCAACAACCTGATTTTGACACACTGTGTCAGAAAAAAAAATTAGTGGTTCATGGAAAATCAGCCTTGTAATTACAGATATACTCACTGTCCCTCAAATGTATATAAGGACCTAAAGCTACATGTGTGTTTATGTATATGTGCCTACACATAGATAAAATGTGCATGTTTTAAATACATAATATATTACATAAGGTAGATAATATACCAAACTTTCATCTAGCCTAATTGACCTTTGGGAAGACTAGGGGAGAAAATTTCCAGAGACACTCACACAGTGAATGAAATCTATGCCCCACTGAAAGTCACCCAGTCAGATTTTCCAAACTATTTCAGTGTCTAAAGATGCCGATGAACGCCTACTGTGATTCCGCAAAAGTACCTAGGCAAAGCGTATGCTGAATTCATCTCAAGTCCACTGAGACTCAGAAATCACCAAAGAAAAACAGTTGTGAAGATTTCTCTAAATACCTACAGCAGAATCATTTAGATGCTTTTGAAACTTTAACCCAGAATAATGAAGTGGAATAGTTACAATAGAATTTAAACTCTCAAAATGGTATTGGAAAGATAGTTTGGATAGCAGACAGTCTCAACCCAAATACAGACAGTACAGAGTAATAAATATTATTCTACTTAAATATGGAGGTAAGAAAAACACAGAATGTAAAATAAAAGCAAGAAAAACATTCAGTTCGACATACTTGAGAGAAATAACTTGCAAGTAAAAATGACTGTTAACCCCTAAAGCTGGTATCCAGCCTCAGCTACATTATTATAACATACAGGGGCACATCATACTTCAATTTTATGGTGGGTTCAGTTTTAACTTAATTTTCTGCAACTTAGCAAGATCAAATAGTCTGAAGCTGGCAATGCTGGATAACAAGGCGCCACGATCCCCACTTCTGCTCTGCGTGCAGTACCAGCGAATAAACATAATGGATTAACAGCATGTTCAGTGACTGTTGGAAAACAAGCAATGTTATTTACAGCTGTAATGAGGCTCAGCAAACATCCAGCTAAATAGAAGAGGGAAATAATTCTCACTTCACTAAAACACTTAGCACAACTGGGTGTGAAGATTGACTTCTAATTTTCTTCATATCCATCAAATCAGGGAAATGCAAGTTTGGGAAAACAATGCCTAGACTGAGCACGGATCTCATCATCACATCCTTTCTGCAGCTGACTGACTAGACTTGTTAGGGCTGGCAGATGAATCAATTTTAAAACGCAAGATTGGTCTCCTACCAGCCATCAGTCTGCTGCCCTGAAGGAAAGAAGGAGAGAGTGAAGATCTGTGGATGACTTCTTGCGCAGATGCAATTAGGGTACACTTGTGATCTTTGCAACACACCACTCCAGGTCATCCCATACCCACCTGAACTGCCAGGCACAGGCTCACGCAGCTGTTACACATCAGTTCTAACAGCCCATGTGAAATTCCTACAACAAAACTAGAGCCTTTCTATAAAGTAGCAAAGTAGCCTTATTCCTCCATGCCCAGAAACGCCCACTGATAAGAAGTTCTGAATGACCCACGCGACTATTCCACAATTTTCAGTGAATGGTGCCGTAGCAAGGACCAGAAAAGTTAAGATAATAAAATTTAACAAAGCTCATCCTTCCCTCCATGAGCATCCTCCCCTTCCTTTAACAAATTTCATCCTTCCCTCCCTTAGTCTCTTACGAGAAAATGGCTGACGTACCCCAGGGCGATGTTCGTAGTAAGCCAACTTGGATTTCGTTAAGACAAAGAAGCGCACTTTAAAGTTGGAGGGTGATGTCCTCCTCTTCTGCTGGGATTTTTTGATCAGCAGTTCCTCCAGGAGCACACAGTTATTCATGGCTGAGCCAAAAATAGTCCTCTCCCAGGACATGGGATGCCTGTCCTATGCGCTGAGCACCCGTCCAAGAAAAGAGACACGAGAAGGAAGACAGTTATTTAAAACAACCAAAAAAAGTTGTTCAGAAGGCAGCGTAGGTGCTTTGAGCCTTATCTTCCCATCTACAGCAAAGCTTCCTCCCTGTCAAACCATAACCACATCCTCTCTGAAGTCATAAACCGAAGAGCACATGTTGAAATAGACGCTAAGGTAAATGTTGTGGAAAAAATAACACTTGAGGGACATTCAGTAGATGTAAATGATTAAGGATTAATTAAAAAGGGGCGTGGCATGATTAAGCATCTGTCTCCTACTCACCCTTCTAGTAAATACAGTTACAGATGTACACACTGAACGTGATGTCTCTCCTGCCTGTTTAGAAGCAGTCATGCATCCATACTTCTTTTTTGAAGGAATGGTGCCTTCCCATTTAGAGTATTTAACAGTTGACTCTGTCTCAGAGATTTCATACAACTTATTTTGAGGGAGTTACCCACATGACATGAAAGTTCCTCCTAGTAAGCAAAGAAAATTATTTACAGGATACACTTGTGTCAGGAATGTTAAATATTTGTAGTCATTAGATATTTAAACTGAAAACAAATGGTTACACTAACAGATAACTAATTAATTATCATTGGTTACTATTTACTGATTACTGACTGCTTCAGGTGCAGCCTAATGAGTCTGTGGCTGGGTGTTCCAGCAGGCAGAGGCACAACGTGCCCCCTGTGAGCGCAATCACGACCAGCGTAATCAGCAGCGAAGCGAGCACAAACATCAACCCAAGCACAGCTGGTTTCCTCAGGGCATCAGGGCACCATTCGGGACAGTCTGCGCCAGGCTAAATGTAGGATTATAAAAAAATGAGTAGGTACGTAATGCACTCAGTTCAACAGCACTGTTATATTTTAAAACAAATGTAATTGATTTTTCTCTGTTCTGCCATCTTTAATATTTTGTGCATTCTTTTATTAGTCGTTTATAATTGCACTGCTGATGCTATTGAAGATTGGAGAGATGGAGTCTGGCACAATGTAAGCTGCAAGAGAAGTCTTTTATTAATTAGGTATTTCTGCATATTGTTCCAGTGTAAATAATTTACCGCTGCTGACTTTTGGCTTTAGCTTAATGCAGCATTGGGGTATAACCCTATTGCTGATGTATTTTTAGAGCTGTTTGCAAGCTCAGAAGACACTTCATTATTTAAAATTCAATTCACAAGTAAAAAAAAGAAAAATAGCAGAACTGTAAACTGTTTAAATGAAGGCTTGAGTTTTATAGGGCAGTTCTTAGACAGACTTGGGAACCATATTTCTCAATAGAATGTACTGGTTATCCCTCCCCAAAAAGAGGCGTCACATCCCTTCCTTGCTGTTTTATGTTAAATTGTTCAGGCATTATGTTCCAGGGATCATCAAACATTCCTTACCAATTTTCTTCAAAGCTAACTGAGAAGCTACATTTGCCATAAAAATAAAATTTAGGGATAGCACTTTACATACAGATCCGTAGGAGAATTTGCTAAAGGCAATGCAGTATCATGAAACAGAGACAGGGAGAAACAGGCTGTTGTGCAGTTGACCCCTCTCTATGTATCTGTACACCTGTGTGGTGGTCTTGCCGAAGACGAGATGCGGCGTACATCAAAACATTCGTTGTGCGCGAGTCGAGCGAAGGTGGGTTGTTTCTTGGCAGAGTGACTGAGTTCCAAGAAATGCTTGTGGTTGAACAAGAAAGATGACACAAGCCTGTGGCCTCCTGAAAAATCGTCACTGCTGCCAAGGGGGATTTTATATCTGTTTGTAGACTAGGACCAACACTCGGGCCAAATTTCCCAGTCCTTCTACAGAAGAGTTTGCCTTCGGCAATGCATATATTGAAAAAAATCAGAGTCCGTTTTGACTTTTCTAAAATTGTGCTCTGTGTCAACAGCAGTTACTCAGACACTTCCACACCTTGTTTAGGTGGTTGCACCTCTAAAACTTAGGACCGTTTTTGCATGTACATAACTTTCCTTACACTTGAGAATTTGCTGGTTTAGATTACGCTCAGAGATCCTTCCATGTTATTAATAACCCAAAACTTGGACAGTAGAGTGCCCTGACAAACCGTATGGACTTCACTTGGCTAGCAACAGTGAATCCTCCCAAAAAGGCTGTTGGTCGTAATAGCATTTTGCTTGATTTGCGTCAGTATGGATGAATTTATAACCTGTTTGTAATGTCATTGCATTTTTAGCTATGAACACTTATTTGGGATTATGTTTTTCTTTCTACTGTCTTCTTTGCACTAACTGTAGTATGTTACAGACTTCCTGAAAAATCTTTGTAGCCTGGGCCAGGGGAGGGTTGCAGCCTGTTGGCAGGTGTACAGGAGAATTGAGTATGAATAGAAATGCAAGGGTGTGACTTACCAAGTCTGCAAAAAGGCAAGGCAGAGGGGACAGCAAAGAGGTGAGACGCTGACACGCAGAACCCTGAGGGGAGCCAAGCTGGTGGAGATGAGAGGATGTGGGGAGAGCAGAGAGTCAGCAAGGGTGGTAAGTAGTGGGGGGAGAGCTAAGAAATTCTTTGAATGCAGTGACTGGCAGCTTAACTTCTTCATGCGGTAAGAGATGAGTTAGCGGAGGAACTTGAAGAGGGGAGCAATTTGATGAAATGTTCAGATAGGGGGCTTGGCAACTGCCCTTCATTTGGTGTAGACATGGTATGATGCAACGTGTTGTAGGAGGTCTGACGGGAAGATGCTGCCAGGGTCAAGGCGAGAGAGAAACAAAGGGCAAATGAGAGTTGGCTCCACATGTGGGCAAACAGGACAGGCTGAGCTGCTGTGTAGGAGAAGGTACAGATTTGATACAATGCATGCAGAAAGACACACACAGTTGTAAGAAAATGATCACAGATTTTGGCCTGAAGTGATAGAGAATCTGGTGGTTAGAACTAGCAGGATTTAGCAGGCGAGATCAACCATTCTGATTTTTCTACAGTGAGTTTCATGATGGGCTGGCTAAGATACTAGACAGGGAAAAGAGTAAGAATGACTGTAAGGAAGGAAACAACACAGCCAGGTCTGGGTGCCATTGATATAAACACAGGAGTTGATTTCAGTGAGAGCTGCTAACTATTTCTGTTTCGCAGTATCTTTATCAACTCATAACCCTTCACCGTTGAACTGGGGAGGAAGATAGAGGCTGACGGATTTCTGTGTTCACTCTTACCCTACATCTACTTCTTCACATTCAATTTTCACTTTAATCCCAAACCCCATAGGTAGCAAACACACAAATATTTGAGTGTGGCAAGCCAAAATCAGAATATGAATGCTCTCTAATGAATGTATAGACAGGTTGACACGTAGATACAAAAAACTAAGAATTGTATTTATATTTAATTATACATTTATAAGAGAGTAACCTGCTTATGCATATTTGAATTTTATTTAGTTTCAAAGATTGTGATTTCTTGCCCAATTTTTAATAAAATTGTTGCTTTCAAGACATGAACTGTAGACGTAAATCATATGTCACCATCCACCTGTGTGACTAACAGGTTATAACCCTTTTAAACAAAGCCTCAGACATCTAAGGGCTTCAGGACCCTTCTACAGTAGAGCAGGATACATACATAGTCAGGTGGAAAGGACCAAGTTGGCTGCAGGGCTGGGAGATGTGAGGACAAGTTGAGCTCTACACACACACTACACAGCCTTCCTGGAAGGGCTCCTTTGGTGAGCTGGGATGTCCCACTAACACAGGCATCTCAGTTCTGGAACCTCACCTTGCATGGTGGTGCAGTGACATGCTGATGTATGAGCCTGCTCCTTTTCAACAAAAGCTTTTGCAACCACTGTATATTGCATGGTACAGAAATTCTGTATCCTTAATATAAAGCAATTAAATATCACTGTCCTAAGTATCTTAAAACCACTTTAAGTCTATCCCTTAAGATGAAGAGACAAAGCCTGATGACTTTTTTAGGTATCCTACACCTTATCTGCTTAAGTGCTTTTAATAAAGCTGCTACCATGTATCCTTTGACACTTTTCCATCCGTATGCAGGAAAATCTGAAATATTTTAAATGTTTCAGATTTAAGTTTGAGCAGTTGTGTGCACCAAATACTCCTCTGTGCTGGGAAGTTGAAGTTACAGATAAAGTTGTTCTTACCAACTGTGGCCTCAGTGGACTCTTTTTTTTTTTTTTTTTCTTTTCTTCAAATCACCTTTGTTCTTCCTTGCTACCTCCTTCAAACTGCTCTATTTCTGCTCTGAAAATGTTATTTTAGGGATTGGATTTTTTTTCTTAGGGGATTTACCCAGATTATGCAGTTCATGCTTTTATTACTGCAGATTGTGGAAATCTCCCCACCCGCACATCCTGCTCTGATACCAATGCTTATGTCCTGAAGGCGGCAGAGAAATTTATAAAGTTAAATATAGATTGATCTTGGTTTTTTTTAAAAAAAAAAACCACAGACCGGAAGGCTGCAACGATATCTTCAGTTTCATAAAACGACCTCTATACTTCTATCATGTAATATTTGGGAAAGCTTTACTGCCTGGATGCCAGCTCTTCCTTTTGCCAGCTGTTCAATATGATGATTATCATTCAACTTCTAAGCTTCCAGAATTCAACCCATTTTGCTCCTTAGCTTTTTTAGTGTCTGAGAAACTCTATTTAGGTTACTCAGCTGTCTTGCTTCTTTGGCAGTCCATAAACATGTCTCCAGTAGACCCAAAGAACAAGACAGAAAGCTGCAGAAAGAGGGAAGAATTAGCCCGGTCTTCACGAGTCAGATGCATCCAGCTTTCCTCTGGGTCTTACAGCTGCACCTTTGAATCTGCTCACACTGCTCCCAGTGTCCAAGGGAGTTGCTCTTGCAGAACCAGAGCAAGATTCTCCTGTGAATTGTTTGGGAGCCCTGGGAAAGTAGATGCCTTGTTCTGAGCATCTGCTAGGAGGATGCAGTGAATTATCCATGATTTGAATGCCTG